CTCGTATGGCTGCTGCTTCCACCAGAGCCCAGAGTATTGGGCCTCGTTCTGCCCGAGCAACAGGTAAGATTTCTAAAACCGGTACAACGCCATCTATCCCTCAAGTCAAAGCGAAAGATATAGGTAAAATTAATTTTCACAAACATGCTCGGAAATGTTTGTGTTACTTCCGAAAAATGAACACGGAAAGTTTGCCATTTATGGACCTCTAAACTTTTAAATCTACCTATTAGATTAACTATGTAAATAAGCAAAAGGAAAACTCATAACCAACTGCCAAGTGTTCCGTAATTGCATCGTAATTTAACCGTATTTAAAAAAAGGCGGTAAAATAATGTATAGTGCATGGGTATTCTTTTGTTTTTTGGCCTTTTTTCTATCATCGCCGCTAAAAGAATTTCTAGTGAGAAGAGCGATAACAAAAATGCCTGTAAATACTATGTCAAATATTAGTTTTAATTTTAATTAACATTTTCTCAATCATCATCTTTCATCAACTCTTTAGTCTTCAATTATTTCCTCACATCGTTTGAGAAAATCACTATATAAGCCTCGGCGGGAACGGGGATTGCTTGAGTCGTATTAATATAACTCATGCTCGTCCAGCAATCCCTTGCTTTTCGGCATCTTCAATAATGTACTATTACACTGTCTTGAAAACGTCACTTACAAGGCGATTAACACAGTGCACCGCGCCCATTGACTTACAATTATATGGACGTCGGGTCCGCGCTAAAAAAGTGTCCGAACTTATAGGGCGTTAAAATCGTATACAGAGCGTCATTCACGCTTTAGTCTTCGTTTGTTCGACTGACAGCGAAGCAAGCAAAATTAGACAGTACTGCGATGACATTACAATTTAAATTCCACGTTTTAGCTTTTTCATATTCCTTTACATGTCTCTACGTTTAAATAGGTTGACTTGGGACATTTTTTTCGTAGTTTTTGTATTAGACCCGTCGTCCATTTATTTGTAAGTCAATGACCGCGCCACTTAAAGTACTCTCTTCGTAGTTTATCGCCCGTAGTAATTGTACACGTAGCTGAGATCCTTCTTTGACAACAATGGTTAATAATACAGAACCCATTCAGGACGCTGCAGTTATACTGTCGATTTGGTTTTGGTTTACTCAAGATTGATTTTGCAACTACACACGTATGTCAACTGAATCCTTTATTTGTTAGGGAAAGTCCGAACGACAATTACTGGAATAGACACAAATTGATTTAAAATCTCCGCGGTAGTGCGGAGCGCTGTGTGCCGTACCCTACGGTTCGCGGTAAAACCGCTCTCGCGCGGAGAAGCGTTGTCAGTGTGTTGGACGGCGCGTGTTTTCCATACAAACTGAGGTACTTCAGTACAACGTTAAAAAACGCAGCTCCGCGCTCCGTCGCGGGGCGCGGTGCAGTGTGTTAATCGCTTTAGCTGCTGTTCGTTCACTACGCTGACTTCCCCGAGAAGAACGAGCAAGAAACTCTAGGGATTGTATTTTTTTTTTCAAATAAATTCAAATAATAATAACGCACATACTCAACACAGACCCGCACTAGGGAAAACCTGTTCCGCGGACAGACACATAGACAACCACAAATTACATCCAAACTCATGAGAGAAATAAATGTAGACCATACAAATATTGCTCTCTACCTGGGAATCGAACCTGGGACCTCTGCGTGGCTATGGAATACACTTTGAATAAAATTTGTGTGTAATCTAAAGCCATAGAGCTACCAAATATGTAACGAATTGTTTGTACGAACTAACAGAGGTCAAAAAGGGCGTTCACTTTTGAATGGTACTACCATAGGCAACTACCTGTACACTAGACCTATTGCCAATATATTACAGTCAATTATAAATGTTCTTTAATTTAACGAGCTCGCCGAGATCCTCAACACTTCTACTTGGGTCTGGTGGCTACACCGATTGATACCATTTCCACTCTGAGACTGGAAATTAGGCACAGCGCCATCTAGCGTCCATGTTGCAGTACTTTACCTATTTATAATCCTGCAAAAGATGTCTTTATTTGGCAGCACGAGCGTCGTGACTCGAACAGATCTGGAGACGCGTCTGATGAGGACCCTGCGGAAGTTATCGTCGGTGATCAGGTAAGCTTTATTCATAATAATAAAATTATTATTTATAAATGTAAACAAAAAAATGCCTTTGTATAGGTTGTGTAACAAATATGTCCCTACATGTTAGGGATCGTTATAGTATAAATAAGACAAGGAATGCAACTCCCGCCTATTCGGTGCTTTAATGGCTGTTTATTGTTCGGATTCGTATTGTTCCGAATCAGAGACTATACAAATCTAGAAACTCTGACCCACTTCGGATGTCACTTGTGCGCTAAATCCAATTCTAATTTATTTTTATAAAAATAAGTGCGCATTTGACCTTCATCCTTGGAGCATTTACGACATAAGGGTGGAACCCCAGCTACATCTGGTCCCCTGATGATGGAAAGGGGAAGGCGGAATTAAATCGTCTAATTCCTTCGCATACTTTCCTTATGAAATAGAAATGAAATTCTGTATTTGAGACACTTTCACCACCGACCGAGCGCTTCAATTCTATAAATAATGGCGTGTTGGACGTCCTGTGTTATGCAACGCGAGAACACTGCGAGATTATGCGAATGTGTGCGAATTTGTACAGAGTCACACTACTTGTCATAATTATACTACGGTAAGATTGTACGTCTCAAAGGTCAATAATACCTCAGTTCATTGTTTTTTTTACAATTTATTACCGAATTTATTTGTTTACAAACATAATTAAAGCCATTTGAAAAATGTATACCGTAGAGTATACGTGTTCTAATTAGTTCAGTTGATATACATATATAAAGAATTGGTATTTGTGAAGTACCTATTGAATACAGCGGTTTGTGTTGTTTTTCTATCGTTAAAATTTTTGGAATCGTGTTTTCACGCCCAAAAGTATCATTGTATATTTTCAATTTTAATATACATTTTTTCCAAAGTAATTAATTCAACACTTTCACTGTCAATCAAAGCCATTTAAGGTTGTATAGACTCTTAATTAGTCTTATTTATGCATAAAGAAAATATAATATCAAATACGATAAATGGACATAGTTATGCAATCTAGAACCAACCCGCAAAATGTCACTTTCGAGATAATTAGATTTTTGTAAAAACAGTGTGAAGAAATAAATAGGTAAGTTATTTGAGACAAACGACGTGAGTTATGTGTAGCGTTGAGAATGATATAGGGAAACTATTATATTATACAGCAATAAATAGAAAACATTATGTATCTTTTTATTTAGTTAATGAGAACCATGTTCTAGTTATCGTAATGAAAACGCTAAAGATCTACAGTACTTGAGTACATGTGACATGGATCCATTTAACATATTTAAAAAAATACATAATATGAAGTTAAGCAGCATGGTTCTTTTTAGCTATTAAAAAGTTACATATTTAGGGTTGGTACCCTGAAGGACTTTTATTTTCTCCGTTTTGGCTTGGTATATTGCCAGGATCTTTTGTGAGCGGGTAAAGGACACGTCTGGTGTTCTACCTAAATACATAACTCAATTTCACTCGAGGTGTGGATTGGTTCTTGTTTGCAAAACTATGTCCAGTTGTAAGAAGATTTCAGCGTTTTATAATACACTCCCGGACACATAATTCGAGCCACCTCGCATTTTCAGTCATGTCCCTTTTTTTTTAAACTTAAACAATGTTTTATCAAAAACTGTTAAGCAATTTTGAAACTAATATACTAAACGGCTTTTCCATAAATCCTTGTTGGAAATTTGGATTTGCAAAACTGGGGGAAAACTTTTTATTCAACGATAACACTATTTTTGTATTCTAGCCCTTTTGATACAAAAATGCGAGGTGGTTCGTATTATGGGTCCGGGAGTATATAATAATAATAGAAAATGTCAAATAACTTTAACAATATCATATCTCTTATATACATGACCGTATTGATTATGATTTTATTGCTAACTTACCCATTATATTTTATATAATACAGCGTTATTTTTAAAACACTAACAACCTCGCAGGCCTATATTACTAATATCATAAACAAAACTTTTGTTTCATTACTTTTTTACAAAACATAATAAATTTACCATAAATAAACATTTAAGTTTTTGTTGACACCTGACACCTTTTAAATCTGCTGTATTTGGTAGGACTCGCACCCCCCGTGCTGCACAAAGTTATTACTATAGGAATGAAACTATTTTTCCGGATTTAAATCGCGTATATTTGTTTTTTCAAGCAAACCGACGTTTCGACGTTGAAAAAACAAATATACGCGATTTAAATCCGGAAAAATAGTTTCATTCCTATGTGTAACAATCGCGAAAACCTAAGAACTCGATAAGTTATTACTAATTAAATATTTTATTGAATGTTTCTTTCAGGATGTGTTTTTTTATTTTTTGTGAAATTATTCCAGTAGTGTTGTTATAAACAATAATACAAAGATCGAACACCTAGAAAAAATTCCCTCAAACCGGCCGGATTCGAAGCGACGTGTTCTAGCATATCTAACTAGGTGACGAAATACTTTCATAGATTTCTCATAGATGGCGATATGGCTAAAGAGTCGTTGAAGTTCGCTGGTTTGTTCCGTGGCTTAATTGGCATAGCGTCTGACACGGTTTGCTAGAAGACGTCGGTTCGAATTCGGCCGGATCAAACGAAATTTTTTCTAGGTGTTATTTTAGTATTATTAATTATAACAAAGTTATTACTGTTTAGAGCGATCTATTTAAATGTATTTATTTTTGTATGAAAAGTTGTTGTTTATAATGTTAGTAATATAGTCCTGCGGGGTTGTTAATATTTTACAAATAACCCTGTGTAATATATATTTTATATTAGCTATTATATTTTTACTAGAAGCAAAAAAAATATACATTTATTTTTTCCTTGTAGGTTATGGTAAGGAATTTCATTATGTTTTACGTATGTATTATTATTTTCTTGTCTTCTTAACATGTTGCGTCTTTGGCGGTTGACAGGATGTAAATAAAAAAATAGTTCCATTTTTCAACTTCTTCAAATTTATTCTTTTTTCAAATGGTGATATATTCTCTATCGCTTCCATAGAGGCTGAGTCATCTCACACCGTGCCGAGGCCGGGCCGTGCTCCGGTCACGGTCAAATATCAATATATGCTTTCATGTTAGACCTAGAGTAGATAATTCGGCCGTGACACGGCTTCGAGCATTTTTTCCCGGTTCCAACCCGCCCCATCGCGACACAATATGAATGCAATCGCCGGGTACCCGGAGGGTATATAGTCAACATTGGCCTACAGTGTATACTTCGTTTCAATCCATTTTAAACAAAAAGTAAAAGTCACTGATCCGACCATAAACGGTTTAGTGATGGCCAATTGTAAAGCCAACTACAAATCGATTAATTAATTGTATGAATCGATTTGTTTAATTGAGTCATATTAGCGGTTTTCCGTACATGAAAATAGTGAAAATACATAACCTGTAAAAGTATATATTTCAAATTTCCGAAATCTTAATTTGAACTCGACCTTCAAATCCTTACACTTACTATATCTATATATAATCCATACTCGTTCGATTGTGATTGAAATTTTCGATTTACTAATCAATTACAAAAACTTTCCTTGAATGGACCGAATGTTTTTTTCGTACAGCACTATGTAACCATAGACAAGCCACAGAAGTGTAAATGAAGAATAACCTAACTTTTGGACCGCCATTTTTCAAATACGATTTTACGATGGTAATCAAATGAATATTGTTGGAATAAATGATGAGATATCACTTCGAAATATACGTAAAAGTGTTACTTATTCGATTTCTTGAGTGATTGCTATAGAATTTTAACGTTAAGAGGTTTGTTTACTTTGTGTTCAAAATGATTTGGAACAGACTGTAGTGGATAACTCAAGCGCAAAATGCTCTCATCATCTATCAAATCTTTGAAGAGCGTGGCAAATTCTCCTTCAGATTCTCGTTTTTTCATGCACCACCATCTTCTTTTTCTACTTTCAATTTGTGTTTCCAATATTTTGTCATCAAGAGCTATTGCAACAGCTGCCAACTCAAGTTGTGAAAATGTGAAAATTGCATTAATAACACAACATTATCACTCAAGAGAAAAATGGGAAATAACAAAAAAAAAACCCGGCCGGCGCACGATGGAAACGACACGGCAAGGTAACGCCCCGGACCCGGTGTAACTTGAATCAGCCTTCAACGTGAATTAGTCAATCGTATTGAAATTGAACCTTATGTCGCTAGGTTTTAGTTTTCTATATTGTATTAGTTTATAACTGTAAAGTAGTTAGTACACGCCTCTACTCGTGGTATGTTTCAGGCTGCTAGCTGGAGACACAATCGTCATTCTACAAACATTCAAGTAAGTACAACGCCATCTATTAGAAATTAATGTTAAACTACGAACGTAATTACAGATACGTTCGCTAGAGGGTAGTATAGTAATATCATGTAGTCTGATGTTAGTAGTCTAAGGGCGCGTTTCCATTATGTCGTGACTACAGGTAGTCGTGTTTAAAGTGTCGTGGCTTGTATATTTAAATGAAGTTGTTCACATATAGCACAACACGATTAACTGTCGTTCACAACTTTTTGATGTTACGACGACAGACTATCGTGACAAAGGGAAGAGCTAGAACGACAGACGTCCGACTATAAATAAAACGTTACGATAGATAATCGCAGCTTCAAACGATTATGTCGTGCAAACGAAAGGCGGCTGCCGTGAACTGATAAATTGTCGTCACGATGTAGTGCGAACAGCTAGACTCGACAATCATCCAACGATAAGGGCAAGGGTGCTGGTGAAATTACAGACACATGGGACTTGTCAACTTATGTCTCAGGGTGACGAGCGCAGTGGCAGTGCCCCCTCAGATCTTTGCGATTTAAAGTTCTGTGTAACACTGCAACTGTCATCGACAGGCGTGTCTCTTAACAACAGGCGCGCGACTGATTGGTCTCGTCACTTGATATTATAAAATATATGAATAACTGTTTTCTGTGTTACTACCGCTTTGGTTGTGCAAGACTAGCTTTGGAAACTATTAACTCATAGATAATTTGTTTTTTGACGTTCATAGCAGTAGTTCCTTTTTACCCGACTGCGTGAGGGTTGTTTTTTCAAGCGTATTTATGTGTGTATGTCCATTTCTATGTTTCTCTGTACAGTCTAAATGGCTTGGCGTTATTATATTCGTCTTGATTGTGGTTGTGTCATAGACTATAAAAAAATAATCAAAATAATGAGGGGGGGGTTAATTTTTTTTATCTTTCCATTTTAAAATTTTTGCAGTCGGGTTTTTGTTTTTTTAAATAATTTCTAATTTCAAAATTATGTTTGTATAAGATTTTTGTAATGTTTAAAGTAACTAAGTTTGACTCTATTTTCTTCTTAAAAAAAATTAAATCCTTGTTGTTTTAAAATATATTTCAGTCAGTACAAAAATATTGAGATATAATAACAATAATAATTGTTTATTTCAGTCCGTGGATAATACAATTCAATTCAATACAACTCATACTTTTAACAAACATCTAATAACTTACACTAATATAATATAGCTACACAAACTTATCCAAAAAACGTACAAACTGTATTACTTAAGTTAATTAAAAAATACACTCATTTTCAGCAAGACGACGCAAATGAAACAACGTCGCTGCTATCTCGACGCAGTTCCACTTCAAGTTCAACGCATAAAGGTCCTGCTGTCTCGCTTTCCCGCGCGCTCGCCATCCCCGGCGTCATCGAGTTCTCTCTCTCGCTCTTCTTTGCTAAGCTCGTCAGCTATACGTTTCTTTATTGGCTGCCCATGTACATTAATACATCCAGTAAGTAGTCATTTGTTATTATAATATATTTATTGTTTTACGTGTGTTTAAAAAGATGGAAACAAAATTATAGGGGCTTATTGATTAATTTGCCCACAGAATGTCTTGTTTTCCCGTTCGACCCCAAAATGACTTTTTCCACTTTACCCCAAAATGTTCGTAATTTTGTTCGTTTTTTTAACAGTGCCTATACGCACTATAGCTCTAAATAAAATTGTCTCACATTACCCTAATATTAAAGAAATAATGAAAAATTCAAAAATATCAATGTACAGGATTAAAATTATGTCAAACTTGATACTTTTACATTCAACTCTATGCCGCTTACGATTCGAACGGTCCAAAGTGTCAAGTATGATGTGCCCTTAACTGTGTTATCGGTCTTTTAGCAAAATAAAATTTTTCCACTTGACCTCAAACATTGTCTGTGTGTGTTGCCTGAATTGTATATTTTTGAACTTCAAATTAAGTTCAAAAATATACAATTCAGTATAGTCAATAATGTTTTTTATGCACTGTATACGGAAATTACTTTCAAAAAATATCGGGAAACGTTATAATAGTTTATTAATTTATTAAACATTTATTGATTAATATGGACCATTAGTAGGGTACTGGACTTTACGTATTATTAAATATAAATTTTAATTTTCCTTAATAAGTTATATTCTAAAATGACTGCTACAGCTTTCATAAAATTAATAAAATAATTTAAAAGTACTATATTTTACTATACATGTTAACGTAACAATATAGCCTTGAATGACATCGTCTATATTAACTTATTTACATATATTAATATCTGTATATGTATATGGAATTCATATTATATATAAATGATAAAATAAATTGTGGTTGTACATCTAACCGATATCTAGGATTTTTAGGATTTTAGGATTTTATAATACTCTATGTGAGTAATCAGCTTTGCCGAATAAAACCGAGAAATGCTAAAGTCATGCGAATTTAAAACTTTAAAACGCTCCCGTGTAAACTTGGCAATTTCGACATACGAAACTCTTAACGTAGGAGGGTTCGATATATAAAATCAAATATGTCTTAAAGGTACCCGTCTTAAGTAAAATATTCCTTTTTATAAACAGTTTTATGGAGGGATTTAATATAATGTTGTCCTACTTAATTCCAAAATTGTAGAATTGCAATTAGACCCCAATTTATTCGTCCTTCAGCCCACCTAACTCCAAAAGAGTCGAGTACTTTGAGCACAGTATTTGACGTGGGCGGCATCGCGGGCGCCATCCTGGCGGGGCTCGTGGCCGACTGTACCGGATGTCCAGCACTTGTTTGTGGAGTTTTTTACATAGTGTGTGCACCGATGGTTAGTATATTGCAAATTACAATAAAGTAAATGTGTCATTGCGCGCCACAAAAGAATTTCTTTCTGTGTATTTATGTGTTGTAGCATTGCAAATGTTTCCTGTGTAAACCTATGTAATAATAGCTTTTGATTATTCGTGTATTCAGCTATTCGTATACGAGCGATGGGGCGCGTCATCCTATGGCGTGAACGTCATTCTGCTGATCGTGAATGGAGCGTTAGTGAACGGGCCGTATGCGCTTATTACAACTGCCGTGGCTGCTGAGCTCGGTGAGTTTATAAAATAAAAAGGACGAATTATTTTGAAAACAATAGCCAAAAGGATTGCACGGAGAAAATGGTCACCAACACATATCAAATGCGTTTGTTGCTCACATACAAAACCAAATTTGTTAAAATAATTGTATATGAACATATCGTGGGATGTTTTCAGTTAATTTTATTGGCTCTTTGCCACCTTCCTCACGAACTACCGTATCTAAAGCGTTTGTTGTATGAATTTTATATATATTAGATATATTTTGTTTGCCCTTTCCTGAATTTGTAAAGTCCATTTATAAACAGTATTTGATTTAAATTTTGTTTGTTTTTTATTATTATTTCCTTGTAATGTAAGCTTTGTCAAACAGTTTTTTTGTCCTCTTTAATTTTAGTTACTTTGCTGGTTTAAGAGATAATATTTTTTTATTATAATTTTGTATACAAATTGTAAAGTTTATGTTTCCTAAATAAAAATAAGAAAATAAATGATTGTGTCTGTAATGTATTTCACTATATTCCAGGCACGCACAGTACACTTGTCGGCAACTCACAAGCGTTAGCCACGGTCACCGCCATCATCGACGGCACCGGATCTATTGGTACGTCAGTGCATAATTGTGGTTTGAATTCGAGTTTCTCTGTTGAGAGTATTTTCTACTCAATCGTAACAACGCTCCTTGAGCTGCATAGAAATAATACTAAGATTGTTACAAGTACCTATCACTTTATTCAAAAGCGGATTTCGAATTCACACTCAATCTTTTAAACCACCTATGCATTAATTCGTGTCGATGTGATCTCCTTACATCGTCATCCCACCTTTTTATCGTCTTTTCTGCAGTTCCTGGCCACTTGTTTTTAAAGTTTGAATCGTTCTCTAATTACTTTGCCTCGCCATTCTGATTTCATTTCGTTCCTTCGCCACTCCCTGCTCGATCGCGGCAGCGAACAGTACTGCTCTAATTTTTAATTGCGTCTAATTTTGATTCTTTTACCAGTTTTAATATCAATCTGTAATACTGTATAACTCGGCCCTTTCGGGGCAAGTCTGTCTCACGTTTAGTATTTAAGTAGGGAGTGTTTTGAAGCGTTGTACCTGTTTTTTATATATACCTTTTTTTGTTACCGCCTTAACTTTTTCCCCTTTCGATTTAATTACGAATAAATTTTTGCGGACTGAAGTATCCTATTTTACTGCCGTGAACCTGGTCACGGCCCTTCAGTGTGTACAACCTTTTGAAATTTGTCACAACATCCGCCCCTCTTCCACTCTATTTAAAAAAGTATCTGGGTGAAGAGTGGCAGAGGTGGCCGATGATTGGCTGACGGAAAATTCGATCAAAACGGATACTCTGTGCATTATACTTAAAATTAGATAGTTCATTAATAAATTACGTGTAAATACTAATTTTATGCTCTACAATAAAATAACTTTGCACTATAGATCACACAGTGTATAAATGAAAGTAGATATCACATTTCGTAAAAAGTAGATGGTCAGTTCCCGATAAAACCATTTCAAACTGGGTTTATTTGCATTTCGATTGTGTGGGTGTCCTTAGATTTAATATCGTATGGCAACCCTGAGAGATACTCACAGCATATTCCCTAGATAGAGACAAAATATTTGCATGGATTGTGTACGAAGTGTTTGTTATAACATGATATTGTGCAGGTGACGGTATATTCCAATATATTAATCTTGTCAAAAACAGTATGAATAGAAATAATTACGTATTATTATTTGATGTTGAATACATAAATCAGCAATATTATTATGCGTATATACTATATATCATGACAAGTGTCTATGACGTTGGCGTCACCAATCAAATTATAGCTTAAAATGTACCATCAAAACTTTCAATTATGAATAAAAAGAAAGAATATTGAATTCTACAATGTCGATGAGTTTGTTTTGAAACAATTATAATTTTGTTTTATTTGACCTCGTTGTATTTCGACAGGCAGTTATACTACTTAATTTTATATTTATTATTATTGTTTGCGTTAGTGATTATCCCTTGACATTGTATTTTGAATTATAATATTGTGACATTGATAATATGAAATAAATTATTCTATTCTATTCAATATTGTTATATGGAAAACAATACATATTAGATTTTATCTATCGTTTTGTGTATTTAAAAATATATTAACACACCGCAAATAGAAGCCTGCGATTAGTCACGAGTAGTAACATTATTTTTCTTTGGTATTACAGAGTAAGATTCTTGAGTTTTGACGTCAACTTTATACCCTGTGTACATGACATATTAGGCTAGCATTCGTGACAGTCCATCGGTTGCATCATTCAAACGCAAATTAAAAGAGCATTAATCAGTAACATAAATATAAACTAATAATTTGTTTTGATTATAATATTGTGTATAGTATGTAGGTTTATATTTCAGTCACATTTATATCATCGTCATTGATAATTATATTTAATAATTTTATTGTGCAATAATGTCCTGCAGACTTATTTTATTCACCACGGCTAGGCTTGGCTGTTAGAGATATCTTCTAGAGATAAGCTCACCTTTGTACATGTCCTTTGTAACACGTAATTTTTAATGTCATTTATGTGTGCAATAAAGAATTATATATCATATTTCCTATTTTTTTAACTTCAACAGGCGCAGCAGTAGGCCCCATGATGGCTGGGGTGGTCTCTTCAACCGGGTCGTGGACGCATGTTTTTTATTTGTTAATATCTTGTACTTTCTTCGCGCTACTACTACTACTCAGGTAATCTTGCTCAGCGATGAGTTAACTTTCTCATACTGAAATAAATTTAAATGTTAAATCTAGTAAACGGAAACGTATTTCGTACATTTGGTATAATAAAGCCACATGTTATCATACGTGATAATGATAAAATTTTTATTAAAAAAAACCGACGAGATGAGCTCCGAAGCAGACTTAGCGGTCCAACCGATGCCTTTAAGGAACAAACATAATTTGAAAATTAATAAACAGATAATTATATTGACTTAATTATTAGTACAAAGATCGAACACTAAGAAAAGAATTCCTTCGATCCGGCTGGATTCGAGCCAACGTTTTCCAGCAAACCATGGCAATGCTGTGCCAATTAAGCCACGGAATAAACAAGTGGGCCTTACGAATTTTTCTATGTGCTTGTTGCAGATGTTTGTTTTTGGTTTTTAATGACTTTTTTGCTGTAGCGCCATTTGCGAGAAATCTATGAAAACTTTTCTTTAAATCCAGCCGAATTCGAATCCATCAGGATCGAAGGAATTTTTTTCTTAGTGTTCGAATTTTGTATTAATAATTATTACAAGCTAGTGGAGTAATTTCACAAAAAATGATTGAATACCATGGTGATCAAACATCGTGACATTTAGTAAATTTATAAGTTACTATTATTGACTTATCAGATTTCACTGTTTTGTGTCGAGGGTTTTTGGAATGATTCAGTTTTCTACGTATTCCTTTCAGGATAATGAAAACGGAAGTAATAAAACTTCGACAAGACAGAAGAGCGGCCTCACCACGCGTAGTAAGAATAGAATAATTATAAATAACAATTGTAATTTTTGACATTGCTCGCGAACATTTCGTGTGTTATAGAAACAAATTCTTGATTTTTCGATAAGCGTTATAGAGTGTATTTATTATACAAAAAGTATTATTAAAAAAACGTTTTATAAAGAAGATGCTTAATTTAATCATTTCGGTTTTCTTTAATTGATTTGCCTATACATCGAATTTTTTGAAATGAAACAATTTTTTTGGCATCTAAATCACGTACATTTGTTTTTTGAAATTAAATAGTATTTTTTTCATTTCTAATTTTAAAATTAAATATTTTGCAAATTGAATGTAGGGTAAACTGGAATGCTCTTAAGTAAATTAAAAATTAATAATGTTGTAACTATCCTTCAGAATAAGATGGTTTGCATTAATATGAAACGTAACTGGTTGATGACTATACCATCTCAGACAGCCTGTAAAGGGATCGAAACGTTGGTATGCTTGAATAAGAAATATACGCGATTCAGATCCGAGAAAAGAATTTCATTTCAAATTAGCCTATATTTTCAATTATGGAATGTAATGCCATCTGGCGATGTTGTAAAGAAACTTTGTGCTGGCCCCGCTTTGCGGCCCCCTGCCAATAAGAGAGAGTTCCACCATGGCGCTTTCAATTTCGTTCATATTCTTTATTTTACTAAATGCTTAGTAATATAATATATGACTTTGTTACTATACTTCTATAGGTACGATGTTTACAAACTCAATAAACTTTTAATTAATGAGGCTAGTTAATTTTGTCTGTTAAGTTCGTCACATAATTTTATGTAAAATTAAATTAAAATTTATTGAGTTTGTTACTGTTTTGTAAACAATAGAATCTCTATGTGACTGGGATTTTTTTACAATGAGAAAATGAATTGAAAATGTTAAAATATTATTTAGGGGAAAAGTGGAAAATCAGTCCCGTTTCCCCCCAATTTCAGGTCGTATGAGAAAGGAGCCTTTGAAAAGAAACCGAAAGTGTAACAGTTTATATTTATAATTAATAACTAAAATGGTAATTAGGGGAAAAGTGGAAAATCAATCTCGTTTCCCTCCACTTTAGGGTAAAATGAGAAACCACATTAGGGAGTTTTATACGAGCTATTAGAAAAATCTTATGATTGGAAAGTATTCATGACGCTGAATAACTGAAATGCCACATGGAACATAGAATTGTATGTAAGTTAATAAAACATTTATTTTTCTGGCTGAAGGTTTCTTGAAGTGCCAAAGTACTATTGGATTGTTTCAACCTGTAATTGCCAAAAAATATATATCAACACTGTGAAAAGGTAAACGTCTAACGTGTATTTGGAAAATATAACAGGAGTGTGGTTTAAAGTATTTTTTTTTAAGAAAAGAATAATTATAACTCTAATTCTATAGTATGGAATACTAAAAAGTTTCAGCTTTTCCATATAACAAATAAAATTAGAGTTAGGATTTTTTTTTCTCAAAAAAATTGATTTAAATCGCTCTCCTGTATTTTTTTCTAAATGCACGTTAGACGTTTTACCTATTCCAGAGTAGTCGATATAACGTTTGTGTTGTAGCCATTCGTATTATAAAATTGTTTGAAATTATACAAATACGTAGTTTGATCATTCCAATTGTTTTCCAATGCATTTGTAACACGTATTTTTTCACTTTTAAATCAACCTATTTTAAGGGGCTGAATCGCACCTTTAATAATAAAGGGGCATAACTCGAGAAATTGATTTTTGGGAAACTGACATGATTTATGGCTGGTGTAAAATAAAATAGAAATATTGGTAGTTTTCTAGAATGACGACTAATCTCTGAAACACCAAATGCTTTTTATTGTTTACCAAAGGTAAGCTCGTTGTTTTGTTAATTATAAAATTTATTATCTGTGCTCTAAGCCGTTAACATCCAAAGTGTCAAGCTAAATATGGCCTTGACTGTGATAATGTGCCACAAATTGTTTTTCACTTAAGTCTGTTTCAATCCATTTTGAACTAAAAGTAAATAAAACTGTTTGGTTAAAATTCTAAAGGAATCGCTCAATAAATCGAATGAGTAACACGTTCACGTATATTTTGATGAGTTCAACTTGAATCTCACCACTTTTTCCATCAATATTGCATCGTAAAATCGTATTTGAAAAATGGTAGTCCAAAAGTGAGGTTATTTTTCATTTATACATCTATGACTTGTCTATGACTGCATAATGCTGTACGAAAAATAAAACGTTCGGTTCATGCAATTAAAGTTTTTGTAATCGAATAGTAAATTGAATATTTCAATCGGAATCGAATGAGTATCTAAGTGTAAGGATTTGAACGAGGGCTTAAAACTAATATTTCGGAAATTAAAACCGCTAGTATGACTCAATTGGACAAATTAATGGACTTGTGATTGGCATTACAATTGGACATCATTACACCGTCTATGGTCGGGTTAGGGACTTGTTTGTTTAGTTTTTGTTCAAAATGGATTGAAACGAAGTATACGACTACCTACAACACCTACACCAAAACCAGTTTTTGCTTTTGAGGTCGCGTGTACTATTTCTTTGTCTTGTTGCAGATCTTTGTTTTAGGTTTTTAACGACTTCTTAACCGTATTTGTGAGCAATCTATGAAAGTTTTTCTTTACACAGCCAGGTAGGTACCTTTACATCTTTTAGGCACGGTACGCTGAAGGCGTTGGTTCGAATCCAGCCGAATCGAAAGAATTTTCCTAAGTGTTCGATTTTTGTATTAATAATTGTAACAACGTACTGGAGTAATTTCACAAAATAATAATTGACTATCGTAGGTAGAAAATCTTCGTGATGTGTAATAAACATAATATTACAATTGTTAAAGCGACATCTCTGGGCAGCCGATGGTAACTGTAAAGGTACCTGGCTGAAGAGAAAGTTTCATAGATTTCTCACAGATGGCGCCACGGCAAAAAGTTAATTCTTTGTCTGTTTCCCGAAAGTGTTACCTTCCAAAGAGCATGACCCATAATCTGACCCGGTTAATGGATGTTTGCGTACAAAAACCACATCAGTTTTAAATTATGCAGTTATAAACCACTTTTTACTTTATGTAAAAATAAAATTGAGAATCTATGGGGTTAACATAACAAATATATTTTAGTTAACATAGCGAATACCATTGTAAAGTACAGATATTTTTCTATAAATCTAGCCGTATGCCATTTCTGTACGCAATGAGTATAGTTTTTATATTTTTATGGGCCATGATCTTTCTTAATTTTATTACTAAAGTGTGATATATATGTATACCATGTACCTGTAAACTTTATGTAGAGTTCCTAAACTTGTAATACATAAATGATTTAAAAATATACAGGGTGTAATCGTTAAGTGTGCCCAGGCGATTATTCCATAAATATAAGATATATCAAAAAGCTTTAAACTGAAATCGAAAGTAGTTACCTAAAGAGGAAATCGACATCAATAACTTTAAAAAAATAAATCATATATAATATAATAAATATCCAAAATTTTAAAGTTAAACGCTGCCATACTTTTAATATGACATTCGTAGTAAGGCTTTAGGGTGCATTTATTCGCCATGAATTTCATCGCGCTCAAAACTGCTATAAATAAAGTAATAAAACTGTGTTTTAATTGATTAAAAATATAAGGGCATAGTTGATTATTTGTTCAAGTTTGAATTGTCCATATAAATTAATAAAATTCGACTCGGTTTCATGTAAATATTATTTCATTGTATGGGACGAAAAAAATCGGGACAGCAGAAGTTGGTCAAATTTAATTAAATGTTTTTCATACAAAATGTATAAAATGACCAACATTTTTATAATGTTGATAACAGTTTTTTATATAAGAATGATTTTATTGTATTGGAAGAAAAGTATCGGGACACAGTAGTTGTCAAACTTAATAAAATGTTACACCTAACCTAACCTAACATTCCTTAGTCCGAAAATACAAGAAGTATCGACACCTTAAGAAGAATGTTTATTTGGTAACGTATTTTCTATATCAGTTTACAGCTTTTTGATATCTCTTTTATTTATGGAATAATCGCCTGGGCACACTTAACGATTACACCCTGTATGCTTAAGGTTATTAGATGAAATTAAAAATACGGATTATTTCCATATATAAAAATATAGAATTTAAGATACATAACTTACACTTGGTATAATAAAACTCAGATGTTTGTTCGTAGTAGCACAAAACAACAAGTTTTCAGTTCGTTCCCAAAAATAATGAAGAACTTCCCGAATATTCCCAAATCTGTCAAACTCTGCCACATTTAATATAACTTATCATGTTCTGCAGCAATGAAATTGAAAAAAAATTAAAACTGCCCAAATGGCAGAAATCTGACGCAAATGATCACACTGTTCTCAATATCAATGTGACATTGGCAAGAGGTCTCTTGTCAAAACGTTCCTTTGCAACTTTCATTATCTCTCATTTAAATATTGTCTAAATATTTTTGACATATTGTGTTTTAATCATTAATACAAAGATCGAACACTCAGAAAAAATTCCTTCGATCCGGTCGGATTTGAACCGACGTCTTCTTGCATACCGTGACAGGCGCTATACCAACTAAGCCACGGAACGAACCAACGGACCCAATGAATTTTTCTATGTGCTTGCGTCGTGTCTTTGTATTTGGTTTTTCAACGACTTTTTAGTCGTAGCGCCATGTATGAGAAATCACAGACACGTACAAAGAATACAAAGACACGACGCAAGCACATAGAAAAATTCGTTGGGTCCGTTGGTTCGTTCTGTGGCTTAGTTGGTATAGCGTCTGGCACCGTATGCGAGAAGACGTCGGTTCGAATCCGACCGGATCGAAGGAATTTTTTCTGAGTGTTCGATCTTTGTATTAATGATTACAACAAACTAGTGGAGTAATTTCACAAAAAATAATTGAATATCAATTCAATAAAAATTTTAAAATATAGTGTTTTATTTTTTGCTTTATATCATTACTGTTTAATTGATTATTTCATTAAGTATTTCATAGCTTTAATGTTTTATGTGTGTAACAACACTTCACTTAGGTAAACGTTCAGTCATGCTTAAAATGAAACGTACGTACAAGAACGTTGTCTAATCTATGGTCAAACTGAATCAATTGCGTTGTGTTCTTGCGTCTATTTTCTAAAATACAATGTTTTACAATTTTTTTATTCCCGACTTCTAAAAATATATTGATAACTAAACATAAACTAAAACGAAAAATCATACTAGCAAGGTCTATGAACGGCTCTTCGTCGTTATTGGGGCAGCTTTCGCCATTCTTCTTTCACCATCTATCGATAAAACTGCCGATAACAACTACGTGACTAATTCACTTCACTTTTTATTTTTATGGCTCCATCAATATGAGAACTGATGATATTGCCAATGTCACAGTTGAAAGAAAAAAACGAAACAAAAAAAAATTTTCGCTAAGCTCTAATAGGACATTAACCGGTGTTGGTAAGTTGGACTACGGGAGTACTCAGTTGAGAATGTAAAACAAAACAGCAAAACAACATTTATAAATATATGTTATTTAAGATATTTGGCAACTGCAAATGTCATTTTACTTCGTCATTAAATATGGCAGACTGTAGAATCTAAACCTCCTGACCTTATTGTACCAAGGGTGCGTTATATTATTATATATTGTCAAAAAATACAAACGCCTAACATCGTCGGTTATATCGTCGCTTATCATCAGGTGGCCAAGCGTGTGTCTGGTTTTAAGAAGAAAGAAATATAAATCAAACAAAATTTCTTGACTCATGTATGATCTATGGGTA